TACTTTGTAGCCGAATTAATCTTCGCGCGGTCGACAAACAACTAAGTTGACAAATGCATCGTCGGTGAAGATACTCGGAAAGATCATAGCTAGCTCTTGGAACATCACGGATAATGGGAATGAGAGGCGGAGACTTCGATATTATTGAAATTACCACTGTAACTTTCAATGTATCGTCGTTGAAGGGAATACTGTGCTCACATGTACGATTCTATGACAAACGTGCGTTACGTTAAACGACTTTGATATTTCGTGATATTTTCACTCGCCGTCCGACGCGAGCTGGCACATGATTAACACGGACAGAGATGTAGGAAGAATTTTGACCACACAAAACATTATCTTTGTCGTCAGAACAGAGTACTCGGCTTGGTAGGGTGTAGAACGGCGGGAGGTGGTAGGCAATAGTGATCACAGGGGTGGTTTGGAGTTCGAAGCGAAGCCTAGACAGACAAATATGTGGAAGCGTGGGGTCCGGGGAACGATCGGAGCGGATTAATCCCTAACCGCGATTACGGATTTCGCCGGTTAGTACTGACGGCATCGCCAGTACGAACCTACCTCGGTCCGCCTCGCTTCGCGTACGTATATACGTACGCCAAAGGCTGATGATGCCAGACGTGCGTCGCGAAAACGAAGCGACCACTTTCGTCGACCTTGGATCTCCGATCGACCCCGCGCGACCTCACCCATGAACGGGAATGCAAAGCATGGAATGACTAGCTTGTACCATACATCAATTTTAACTACCATGGCCGTTGCTAGCACATCTTCGCCATCTGCATTCCTTCTCTCTGCCTTCTACACAACAAGTCGCGCGCTTATTAGTGACTCGTGAGCGAGATTCACCTTTCTCGTGCCTCCGCGTGCTTCTACCAACGTGGTGTCGATCGTTGTCCTACCAACGGCCATGTTTCGTATTAGATTAGAAAACGAAATCATGAATGAAATTCGACGTCCTCTCTCAGTGCCAGTGTCAGAGTGATGATTCTTTTTATTCCTCCTTCACTCTCGTTGGCCGGTCGCGTCAAGGAACCGATTCGCACCGATCGTATTTCAGTCGCGTCTTTTTTCATATTCTTTTCTCTTATCTCCTCTCTTGCGTCCCCCCTACCTCTTGATTTCAGTCTGTCTTGTTCCCCCTTCTTTCTCCCTCCCTCCCTCCCTCCCTTTCTCTCTCTTTCTCTCTCTCGCTGCTTTCCTCTTTCTCTATCCGAACACGCGAAGGTTGCTTGCACGCATACAAGGCGGTAGGTGCACGCGCTCGAAGAAAAACATGATGGCGGTCGGACTTGCTCGAAAGAGTGCTTAAAACGGCAGTGGGAGGAGGAGAAAAAGAAAAAGACGCGGAAGGAGGAGAGGTGGTGAACAGGCAGGAACGGCTAAAACGAGACCGGACGGCAATGACCCCAAAGAGTTTCGGGGTCCCCCGTTCCTCTCTTCCTTCCTGTTCGCCTTCTCCGATTCGCGACTTCTTCTTTTTCCTGTACTTTTTCGTCCTACTCGAAGACCACCCTCCCTCCCTCTCCCGACCCCGGTCCCCTTGCGCCCCCCTCGGTTTCTCTCCGTTGATCGTCCTTCTTTTTATCCCGGACCTAGGACAATCGCGAACGGGTTGAGGTAACGGGCACGAGGCGAGAAAGAGACTGAAACGAGTTTTGCAACGGCAATGACCCCGAATTTTTTGGACAACACCACCTTACCCTCTCTCTCTCTCTCTCTTTCTCTCTATCTATCTCTTCCTCGTCTGTCTCTCTGTCTCTCTCTCTCTCTCTTCCATTTCTCTTCTGTATAATGAATGTGATTTTCCGGCCGCTTTCGCAGCTTTTGCACAACGCGACGTTATCTTTGCGCGCTCGACTCTTCTTGTAGTTACCTCTACGGTCACCTTCCTCTTCAGGTTTATAGCCGCGCTTATCTGAAACCTCTCTTCGTATACTTCGTATACTTCGTGCTTCTTCTTCTTCTTCTTCTACCTCCGGACATTTTTAACGACGTGTCAGATGCCGGCGCAATCCTGATTTTCCGCCGCATCTCACCGGCTCGTAAACGAGTCGACGTTCTATGCTAGGAGGGCTAGAAAAGCTGGAGAAAGGGATACCGATCGTTGCGGTAATCGTCTCGCCGTTTCCACTTGGATGTCTTCCTTCCGGTTTGCACCGCGTGCAAACGTTTTCATCGCTCGCGTACGTCCTCCACGTTCTTGTCTCCGCGAGCTCGAGTGTGGGTGGCCACGACCGCCGCGGCATACTTAGGCCTTCTATCTCCTTTTTTATCCCGAACCTGGGGCAGCCGCAAGCGCGTTGGGAAGACGACGGCGACGAGGACGACGGCGTCGCTCTGGCCGTACCGCCGCCACCACCGCCGCTACCACCGCCGCCGCCACCGCCGCCGCCGCCGCCGCCGCCGCCGCCGCCGCCGCTGCTGCTGTTGCATGCAAGTTATTCTCGGAGGGAGGCTGCGGTCCCTAGGTTCGACGCCCCGACCTGGCCCAACTGGAAAAAACCGGTTTCTTCGTCGCGCTCTTCCTTTTTTGCCTGCATCCTCGCTTTTTGCGCCGCGAGTGCCTCGACTCCGCTGACGCTCTTTCCCTTCTTCTCCGTCCCGTTCTCCACGGTCGTCTCTCCTTCTCTCTCTTTCTCTCTCCTTCTTTCTCCTTCTGTATTCCCCTCTTTTTCTTTCTCTCTTCGTGTATACCTCTGGCCCGTGATCTCGCTCTCTCTGTCTCTCTCTCTCTCTCTTTCTCTCTCTTTCTCACAGACTCGCTCTCTCCCCGCTTCGGTCGAGAGAGTGGACGCGGCGTGGGCGAATCCCCGAGGGACTTTATGATCCGCCGTGACCAGATTCATCTCTCCTCGCAAGAGGCTGTACGTGCGCGCGGCTGCACGGCGCTCTCGCTACCATTCCCAATTCCATACTTCCTGGTCCCGCTAAGAGGGTCTACATGTATCTGCCATAGCCGGCGATTTCCCGTCCCGCGTCGGGCTATCCGCGTGTACCTCGGTACAGATACGATGAGAAGCGGAGAGAGGATGCGGTCCCGGTGAGAGAAGGAGAGAGAAAAAGCGATTCCGCCGTAGAGATCGGTTCTGCATGCGTTCTTTGTTCCCGCTTTCAAACACTTGGCCTGCGTTGACTGCGAAGAGGCCATGGGAGGGTGGGAGGGACCTTCGATTTGCGCGCTCATTTTCGACGCGAACGAATTGCTGGCTGGCTGGCTGATTGGTGTATATTACAAGAACGCGGCAACGTGTCAAAATTATCTGAAACGATCCGTCAGCGATGGCATCGACTGTCTCTCGGCGACTAAATAAATTTCCCGCGGCCGCGAGAGCGTGTCACGCCGCGATCAATATTGCAAAGACGGTCGGACAGCTGGATAATACCAGGGCGAATATAACGGCCGCGGCGCGTACGCGACTACGTCTACGTCCGGTGACGGTATATTTTTAACGTCGCGCTGTTTTAAATAACCACCAAGACATTGCGCAGTTTTAGCCACGAGAGCACGTAGTGCACGCCAATCAGCGCGACGATAACGACGAGAATTCCTTCGGATTCTTCGTGTTTCAATCACGAGCCGATCACGCCGTCGAGAGGATCGGATCGGTCAAACACCTGGTCAAGGCGTGATCTCTCATCACGCCCGCTCCGCCACCGGGATTCGCTCGCACCCCTTCGCCGATTGGTTCCTCCTGGATTTTTCCGCCGATCCCCGATCGCAGATTGTCCGCTCCTTGAAGCCCGGCGCGGGCCCGGGTCAGGGAGTGGCGTAAAAAGGAAGTGGGTGTGAGCACACGTGTAGCGGTGCGTGACGTCGAGTACGATGTGGCCATTTTGTGTTCATAGAGACGGGACCATCTTTGATCGAGGGCCGAGATCTCGTTAGCGGAGAGCGATCTTATTAGAACTAATCGCGCCGGGATTTTTTCCCCCACCCCATTTTTGTGCGTTGGGCGCAAGCAGCGCGCGACGCCATTCTTGGCTCGCGATGTTCGAATTTCCCTCGAGGAAGTCACGCTCCTTCGCGATGTCACAGCCATTCGTTCCTCTCTCGTCTCAGAGAAAGGGGGCTCTCTAGATATTTTCAATTTTTCCTTTTTGCATTCACAAGTCGAAAACGCAACCCACAAATGTGGTTGATATAATCGACGGCGCGCGAACTCCTCTCTTCCCCGCGAGCGTCGATAAAATCCGAAGGCCGTTCGCGCGCGCGGCGCGCAATTCTTTTCTCCCGCCCGAGTTGTTCGTTCATTCTTTCCTTTTTTTCTTCTCGCGCTGCCGTCGTCTTTCCTTGGCTTTTTTAGCCGCGACGAGGCCGCGGGACTCGCCTCGGCAGCAGACAACCTTCGTACGATACTTCGGCTGTTCGTTGCTCCAACGTGGGGCTCGCGGAATCCGCGGGAGATATTCACCGGCTTGCTCATCTTATCCTTCTCTCTCTCTCTCTCTCTCTCTCTCTCTCTCTCTCACACGCTCCTTCTCCCCTCGCTTCGGCTCGCTCGCGCGAACGTTATTTTCTCGAGACGAGAACGCTTTGTCTCCCGATAAGGAAGGCACCAGAAATTCCTGATTCCTTTTCTACGTCCGCGTCTGACTCATAGCTCTCACCGCTTTCGGAGCTTTCGGACGAGCGTCGAGGAGAGCACAAACAACGCAAAAGTCCAAAGGATGTCTAAAAGACATCGGAGATACCTCCGAGAGATCTTAGATTTTTGCTTCTTCGTTCGGGAAGAGAACCTCTTCGCGGCCGGCACGGCGTAATTCGCAAACTTATACAGTCGTGCCGCTCTTCTGTTCCCTTCTTGGCGAAACGTTCGGCACGTTTGCACCCTCGAAGGACGTGGAGGAAAAAAACATGGGCAACGCGCGCGATCGATGGGTATTCATGTGCGTCGCTACTCACCCCCTCGACTTGTCCCTCTCATTGCCAACCTATGCCGCGTATCATTAATCCACCTCTAATTGTGAGTCGCGTGAACTGTTAATCCGCGCGCGTGCAAAAATCGCTCGCTGACGAATGCGACGCGAGGCGAGAGAGGGAGATGAAAAAAGTGAATCTGTCTAACGCCGTAAGGGTTGACAACGGGGCACCCTCCGTGTTGTGCCAATAGGAGAACCGGATCGACCCCGGTCGCGCCCGACTAGACCAGCGGAAAAAAGGAACGCGGAGGGGCGTCGTACAATGGGGTGCAGATCCCACCCTGTTGGAAACGCCACGGGAATGATTTCATTAGTGAGTCCGCGCTGGTGATCGAGCGCTGGAGAGAAAAAAAAAATAGAGAAAGAGAGGCGCGGAGCCACCGGAGGCGGGGTCGAAAAAATTAATGCCTCGGGCTGAGAGAGAGAGGCTGAGAGCTTTCGAGGGGTGCGATCGGAAAATGGACTCGTCAAGTTGAAGACTGTATGAAGCTTAGAGGAGAATACATGTAGTTGTATGTAGTTCTTGAACATATATACGGGGGGGTTTGGGATGTATGAGTGGTCGGAACCGACGTGAAAGTAACGAGCAGACACAGTAAGATGTAATATTCGTCCAAGGGGTGGTTATACGAACAGCCACCGGGGAACAGAGAACGCACGTTTGAAGGACCGCCGTATAGTGATGATGGCGATTGGTCGGGCGCGGGTAGGACCGAAATAAAATCGTCGCTGCGAAAGGGACCAGACGGCGAAAAAGTTGCGAGAGATCGCGTAAGAGCCGACCGATTTACGAGGCGTTCTGCCGCGAAAGGCCGTCCCACTTTTCTATTTTAATGCCGCAAAAGAGACAAAGAGCGAGGTTCTTCTGGAGATTCGCCAGCCAGCGATGTTTACCGACGAGAAAGAGAGGAGAAAGGAGAGAGAGAGAGAGAGAGAGAGAGAGAAGACCATAACAGGAATCTGAGAGAGGTGCGGGATTCGGCTAATACCGGGGTGCAGGGAGGGGGTGAAGAGGAGAAGAGAGGAGAGTGAACCTTGCTTAATTAGAGGAACGGGTAGAAATTAAGAAGCGGTAATTAGCCGCGATTGACGGGTGAAAGCGCACGCGGTATGACTCTTCGGCGATACATCATCGTACATCTGAATGATTGCCGCAATTGCGATTTTCGCGACGTGAGACAATATCGATGCGCACTCACAATGACGTAGGTGAGATAGGGAGAGAGGAAAAGGAGCAAGAGCCGGGTTATAATCATTTCACGATCTTCGTCGCGTACGTACGATCGATCAGGCGGTGATTCGCGCGTTCCGCAATATATACGCGACTTGAGGCCGCTAATTAAATACATAACGCGCGTCACAGACATACGAAAAGAAGGTTAATTAAAAAACAAACGCGATACGCTGTTACAATTTCGCAGCACAATTTCATTATCCGCGCATCCCGCGAAAACTGCGTTACGAACAGGTGTACGCATCTCGCGGCTGTGTGTATGTGTGTTGTTGATGAGCACGAGCATGTGTGTGTCTTACACGAATAGATCATGACAGTGAAAATTGGAGACCGCAATTTTGCACGTGCGTCAAGCGCGCACGTAAACGCGGCGAAACGAGTTGAAATTACAGCCGAAAGGAATTCCCATGGGCTCTTCCATATTGACCCGATCGTTTTACCTTTAATCGTTGCCATGGGTACTTCGAACACTGCGACAAAGAGACCAGCATGAAATGGAGATCAATCTGAATTAATGTGATACCATTAAATCGTCAGTCATGGGTTTAGGTTTTCAGGAGTATTCACATCGCGCTCGTGTGTGCACGCTCTCGCGGAAAGAATTGCATAAAAAAGGGGAAAACATACCGTGTAAATACCGCGAGCGCGGTAATTAATTAGTACTCCGTGTCGACGAAAATATGTACGATAAGCGCGGGTGGCAAACCCACCCTCCCAATAAGCGGATTTACATTTATCGCCCGGCGATTAATTCGAGTTTCGGTGAACGACGATCACGCGCGTACAGAGAAAACATAAACAAAAAAGAATCTGGCGTTAAGCGAGAGATACAACCAACGCGCGGTTTCTAGTACAGGCGGAGAGTGGAGAGAGGGATGAATCCCCGTGGCGAGAGAAAATAAATCTAATGGCTAACGAGTTTTTACCGAGCCGCGCGTCGGGGCAATTAAGACTGGGGAAGGGTGGGAGAAGGGAGAAATCCGAAGGGATGATGGGAAGGCCCGGGAGGTGAGTTAGAAGAAGGTCGAGAGGTGCGCGAGGAAGGTCCGCGAAACGGGATAGAGAGAGAGAGAGAGAGAGAAAAGAGGGTTGTTGTATCGTGTTGCACGACACTCAACCCTTGTACCGCTAAACTACGGATAAATACGAAGGCTGCGCGTCACGTGAAAGTGGCCAAGACACAAGAGAGGGAGAGAGGGAGGGAGGAAGAAACAGAGGCAAAGACAGAAAGATCAGGGCCGGTCAAATTCGCGAGTTTACACTGCCGCGCAAATTCCACCCCTTTCGGAACTTCGCGTTTCTCTCTCTCTTGGACGTATCTCGATCGTGTCGCGATGTACAAAGACTTGAGACGGAATCTCATGGCGAGAAGATAAAACAGGATAGAGTCTCCGGTCGCGCGCAGGGATGAATCACGTATGCGAGAGATTCGATAGATCGATTAACGAGAAGGAAATTTCGACGTGGAGAGACGAACTTGCCGATGGCTAGGCCGTGCCGGGATTCAGGAGCGTGGGCGTATTAACTGAGGACATATCGCGACGGTGTATCGTCGCGATGATCCGCCCCTGTTCCGAGAGCCCGGGAAGAGGGTAACAGTTAATAGGATACACGTAGAGAGGAGGTGTATTGGTGTATTGGTGTATGTGTGTGTGTGTGTGTGTGTGTATGTGTGTTGTGTAAGCGAGGGCGCGCGCGCGCGCGTGTACGTGTGGAGGTAGACCATAGACGAGTTTCTATGCCCGGGCTACCGATCGTTCTCTATAATACATTTACGCTCCGGCCTATTATAATATTGTACTCCGGGTGTATTGTCTTTCTTAGCGGGATAATGTTTCGTCGACACGCCAGGCCTCGACCCGGAGCGTAACTCTTTCATTTCCCCTTACTCTCCGCCGCACTTCCGAGTCGTTCCTCTTTCTTCGTCTTGCGCTCTCTTTCTCTCTCTCTCTCTCTCTCTCTCTCTCTCTCTCTCTTTCACTCTCTCTGTGTGTGTCTCTCTTTTGCGCGCTTCGCGTTCGCTTCTTTTCTCCTTCTCTCTCTCTCTCTCTCTCTCCTCTCATCCTCTCCTGTTTCTTTTTTTTTTTTAAACAACGATCCATTAGCTATCAGGGTAGCAGACGGCGCGAGGGAGACGGGCTAGGCGGTCGGAAATAGCGAAAACAATTTCAAGAAATCTGCCCCGGCGAAAATTCGATTAGCCGCGGAAGATGGGCTCGAGCTCTCCATTTGTTTCGTTTCGTTTTATTTCCAGCGGGCGTATACTCTGTTTCTCTGTCGCCGGCCTCTCTCTCTCTCTCTCTCTCTCTCTCTCTCTCTCTCTCTCTCTCT